TCGCAGGTACGCCCCTTTGAGCGTGACGTGTCGCCGTTTGACCATTGTGCCTCCGGCGGGGGGAGACAATGGAACAAACACTAACGGGAGCCGTCATGGCGGGTAATAACTCGACTGGGCAGCGCCGCCCGGCCCGGCCCGCCATAGCCATGCCGCCGCCGTCCCCGCGGGACCGCGAGGCCTCCCTGTGTGCTGCAGGCCGAGCCACTGCGCTCTATACCGTTTCCGCGCGCGTTCAGCCGTCAGCAAGCTCATGAACCCCCCCGGCGCTCGTTAAAGACACACGGAGGTGTTGGTTACTGCGCTCGCTCACGTCTTTCTTCTCGCGCCTGCTTCCCCCTGACAGCGGCAGCAGCGGCTCATTCTCCCTTTCTGTCCGCAGGCTCGGCGAGGACCAGCGCGAGTACGTGGACCGCAAGGGCATCCACGTGGTCGTCGGGCACTACATGGGCGAGGCGGCCGCCAGCCCCTCTCTCAACCTCACCGACGGTGAGTGTACTTGGATGCTCACCCCCTCCTCTTCTGCCAGGCCAGGATCACGCCGATGAGGTCTGGACCGCGGAAACTCATCTCTCTCTCTCTTTCTCTTTCCCGCAGAGCTGGTGAACAAGAACGAGTTCTCGCCGCTGCCCCACGAGGGTAAGGACGGCAGCCCCGTGCAGATCCCCTCGCACATGCTGACTCGCATGCAGGCGCTGTTTCGCATCAACCGCTTCAACCTCATGGCCTCGGACCGCATCCCGCTCAACCGCACGCTGCCCGACGTGCGCAAAAAGAAGTGAGTCTTGACGAAGCGTCGCGTCAATTGCAGACGATTGGATATGGCCCGATAGTGTCATACAAGAGTCCGGGTGTGCCTATGTGTGTATAGTTCTCAAAAAGAGGAAGCTGTTAAAATGTCACACTACTTGTTCCATTTGGATGGGAGAGCGGAGAAAGAAGGGGGGGGGGCGGCATAGGCCCGCGATGACAGAGAGGCGATAACTCTGGGTGAGCACCCGCAGCGGCAGTGGATAGCGTTCTGCTCGCGTCCCGTCCCGTCCCCGTCCCGTCGACGCCGGCCCGATGCAAATCTATGCGCCGTCACGTCATTCGTATGAATGGAAGCTGAAAATGTGTGTCGCATACTGATCGCCCACACTTTGTCACGCTGCTGACGGGGGGGGGGGGCCGCTGACAAGCGAATATGTTGTGCTGTGTGTACAGGAGAGAGGGGGTACGGGTGCCGAAACTGCAGGATAGACCCTCCCGCCGCCGCCGTACCCATGCGCGTTTCCGCTTTGAATCGAAAGTTTCGAATCCTATCGCAGCACATCCACGTGATAAGACCGGAAATGGGACTGTTTCGAGCTTTCGCGGCTTTCCGGTAAAGGTGGCGAGAAAGATTGTGTGCCAAAATTTTGATTCTTATTCCGCCTGTCTGCTGAAATGCTGCTGACCTCTCAAAACAACATCTTCCGTTGCGAAAGGCGGGACAGGAGAGGGGTATAAACATTTTCGCGTTTTGCAAATTTTGTGACTGTTGGTTCTGTTGTGAGAGTGCGCCGGCGCCACGCCACGCCGCTGCAGTTCGTGCGCCGCAAGGCAATAATATAATGGCGCGCTTTTATGCGGGTGGGGCGGGGCGCTGCAGCCGCGTTGGGTTAGGCAAGTCGTCATTACCTCTTGCTCTGCGCCGCGCCGGTCTGTGTCTCCCCGCCCGCGCGGATAGCGCTATCCGCCCGGAGCCGCGCGGCGCTTCCTCGTCGTCGTCCTGGCCGCCCCGCCCGCCCCGCCCGCCCGCGCCCTCTCTCTCTGGACCCCGTGTCGATGCTCGAATGGCTCTCGCCGATGCTTTGTCTCGCTCCGCCTGGTCCCTTTTTCCCCCCCTTCCGACCGGAAGAGCGCCCGCGTAGGAAGAGATAGAGGGCCGATTTGTTTTTAGTGCGCGGGTGCGGAGCCGCCACCGCCCCGCCCGCGACCCCGGGAGGACGGGCGACCAGGCAGGGGGTCAATTACGCCAGGAACCCACGGACCTAAAACTGTTAATTTTGGTAATTTCAAAAACATTAAAGCAGTACTTGTTCTCGGTATTCTTGTAACAAAGGCTCCAGAGGGGCGGGCGCGGCACATGGCGGACATCCTCTCTCGACCATTGCCTACACCACGGAGGTGACTGATGGCCGCGGTGCCGCAGAGTGCGTGGACGAGCGGCTGAGCGCGGCCCGCCCGCTCTTTGGCTCTTTAGCCCTAAAAGGCGACAGGGCAGCCTTACCTCGCGCGGCGCGGCCGCAGAGCGGTCGGCCGACTGAAAGAATGAAAGAACCGCTTCCCTCCTCTGACGGTCCTGACGCTGACGGGCGGGCCTGATCCGACGTGCGACGTGCGGCCGCGGCGGCCGCGGTGGCCCGCGGAGCGCGGAGCGCGGAAGGGCCGAGCCTCACCGCGCCCCGCCCCGCCCTGCCCAGCCCCGATGTGACAAACGCGATTGTGATTGTGTCTCGCCTTTTGCCCAGGTGCCAGGCCAAGGAGTTCCCGCTGGCCGGGCTGCCCGACACCTCCGTGATCATCGTGTTCCACAACGAGGCCTGGTCCACGCTGCTGCGCACCGTCTGGTCCGTCATCAGCCGCAGCCCCCGCGAGCTGCTCACCGAGATCCTGCTCGTGGACGACGCTAGCACCAGGAGTGAGTGCACATCGCAGCTTGAAGTACCCGACATCCATTCGCGTACAAGCTCTAATACTTGTGATGGCTCTGCCCCCACAGCGTTCCTGCAGCGCGAGCTGGACGAGTACGTGGCCACGCTGCCCGTGCCCGTGCGCGTGCTGCGCTCGCCCGCCCGCGTGGGGCTGGTGCGCGCCAGGCTGCTCGGGGCGCGCGCCGCCCGCGGCCGCGTGCTCACCTTCCTGGACGCGCACTGCGAGTGCACCAAGGGCTGGCTGGAGCCGCTGCTCACGCGCGTCGGCGGCGACCGCACGCGCGTCGTGTGCCCCGTCATCGACATCATCAGCGACGACTCGCTGGCCTACGTGCGCAGCTTCGAGCTGCACTGGGGCGCCTTCAACTGGGAGCTGCACTTCCGCTGGTACACGATGGGCGGCAGCGAGCTGCGGCGCCGCAAGGGCGACGTCACCGAGCCCTTCCGCACGCCCGCCATGGCCGGCGGGCTGTTCGCCATGGACCGCGAGTACTTCTTCGAGCTGGGCGCGTACGACGAGCAGATGGAGATCTGGGGCGGCGAGAACCTCGAGCTGTCCTTCCGCGTCTGGCAGTGCGGCGGCTCGGTGGAGATTGCGCCCTGCTCGCACGTCGGCCACCTGTTCCGCAAGTCGTCGCCCTACACGTTCCCCGGCGGCGTCGGCGACGTGCTCTACACCAACCTGGCCCGCGTGGCGGAGGTGTGGATGGACCGGTGGGCCGACTTCTACTTCAAGTTCAACCCGGACGCGGCCGCCTTCCGACCCAAGCTCAACGTGTCCGACAGGCTGGCGCTGCGCGACCGCCTGCAGTGCAAGGGCTTCGAGTGGTACCTGGACAACGTGTGGCCGCAGCACTTCATGCCAAAGGACGACCGCTTCTTCGGCAAGGTAAGTGTGCCGGGAAGAAAGGGCGTAACTTTTTCGGAAATGGTGAGTTCCGCCGACGTTGCTTTACCCTTCCTCTCGGGCGTGTTCACAGGTGCGCAACGCGCGCACGGGAGACTGCCTCGTGAAGCCGACAGGCAAGGGCAGCCTGAACCAGCCCATGGGCACGGCCTCCACGTCCAGCTGCGGCGGCGACGACGACCTGGAGCTGGTGCGCATGTTCGTCATGACCAAGGAGGGCGTGCTGGCCACGGACGAGTCGGTCTGCCTGGACGCCCCGGAGCGGGAGCTGCCCGCCGAGGGCCGCGAGCGCGTGGGCCACGTGAGGCCTCGCGCCAGGATCATGGCCTGCAGCGGCCGGCCCAGGCAGGTCTGGAAGCACGACACCCAGGTGAGTGCGACCTCAGTGTTTCGACGGCGTGACCACAGTGTGACCACGTTGTGATCGCAGTGTGGCCGGGGCGGTTGTTGGGTGGGGCCACCGTAGGCAGATGACGACGGGGACTCTGACGCATCTGTTGTTTTCAGGACCAGAGCCTAAGGCACGTGTCGAGCGGGCTGTGCCTGGACTCGCCGGAGAACAGTGACGAGGAGGACTCGGTGCTCGTTCTCAACGAGTGCAACGGGTCGACGGGCCAGCAGTGGACACTCGAGAAAGTAGCCTGGACCTGATGATGTAGAGTTTGAGGATTTGAGACTGATAATCTTAGTCGGTGATCTTCTCTGTTGTGTTGATAACTTCTGTGATCTCGCGTTAGTGCTTTCAGTGGACCATACAATATACTGTGGGGAGATTCGAACACAGTACAATAGTGTGATGTGTGTTAAAAATGACATCATCTTGTAATCGTATTATGGTATAAGCTATATTTGTATATATTTGTATAGCAGCTTTAGAACTCCATGGTATTTATTGTCACCCTTGGTCTTATAGTAATGTGCTATTTATTGAGATCGTAACTGTATTTTTTCTGTTGCGAGTGACTGAAGAATCTGATTTAGTCAGTGATACTTAAGTATTTTGCCTTCTGTGATAGTAAGTTGCAGCGGAGCACTTATTACTAATAAGTAAGATCCTAGATTACTTTTATGTGATAGACAATTCTTCAATACATACGGTCAGCACTAGATTATCAACTACCTAACTTATTGGTTTCGAAATTGCAAATTTTCTCAAATTTCCTTTGGTATTAAATGAAATATTTTGTATTCACCTCTCTAAATAATTCACATGTAAAGCTGGTAAGGCTTACCATTTGTGCTGTGCTAAGATTTATCAATGTATTCCATGCAATATGTAACTACAGTATTAGTATGAATGATTTAAAAAATCTTCAAAGATGTATTGAATTGTTGTTTTTAATGAAAATGACTATCATTTTGTATCTCTGGGAGCCAGGATAAAGATGATGCATGTAAGATTCAAATGTCAAATAAATTTATTTGCAGGCATAAGAAAAGATAAATTCTTTCTCCTGAGATGCAACAAGGGGTATATATGCTTTGTTGAGTTGTTAATTTCAACTTCAAGTTTTACAATAATCAATAATTGATGTCTTACTTGAGTTCAGCAACATCAACAAAACAGTGTCAAGTAGGTCCAGCCTTCATAACAAGATAGATTTCTTCACAGCTATACAAAATTTAAATGTTTACAGAGGAAGGTAAAATTATATGGACCATAGGAACACAAGTAAGTGGATAAAAAAAAACAACATCATTTCACAATAATAGGTAGCTCAGTATAGTAAACTTGAACAAAAAGGAAAACAAACAAACTGTATTCAAATTACTATAAAATTATCACAGCCTTATTTCTCCTTCAAAGTCTTTATATAAATGACTGAAATCAGTGATGGAAGCAGACATAAAAATTTCACTTTTTGAATGATAAAAAAAAGAGATTATGGAATATTATGCAAAAATTGGTAAAATGGTCACATTTGTTTGGCCACACTTATTGTTTACAAAAATAGCTGATGGCAGAAACTAACATACTATGATAAATTTTAGTTATCACGTCAAGAGTGAGCAATCTTTAGAGCTGTTCTGAAAAACGAAACAACTCCAAAAGAGAGTAAAGTGGTACAGAAATACATATTTTGATTTTCAGCATACAGTTTTGGGAGACTGCAAATTGCACAGTAGGTAGGTTTGATTTTTTCCCTGCTTATAGTTACAATATAAAAAAAATTAGTAATCAATAAAAATTCATCACAGATAGCAAAAAGGGACACGAACTATCTCTTCAGGCCCAATTCGAATCATTGTTAAGGTAATAAAAATAGATTGCATTCATTTGCTACTGGGTTTCAAGTCAGCAAAAGCTTTGTTACATTTTAGTTGCAAACTCATTTCTTGAATAAAATTGGCAATATTTTGAGCCTCACGCTCTGCTCTCTTGGAATCAAAAATGACAATCATAAAAACACGAGGATCAATACTGCTCATAAAATAGGTACACTGATCCTGTAAAAACAAGATAATAACATTACTGTATTAAAGATTTTCAAAAAATAATGACAAGATGAAATACATGCAAAGAGATTCAATTACCTTTAAATTTAAGGTACTATGGCAACGTTTTTCATTTGTGGCCAATGCTAAACTCTGTTCCATGATTGCTTTTGTAACATTTGGCATGTGTACAGGTGGTTTCTAGAAGAAAGAAAAAGGTAAAATTAAATAACTAAACACTGTATCAGATTTAAGCCTTGAAAATTATCTATTGTTACCAGATACTTACAACAGGATAGCTAACCATGATTGGAAAGCATTCCATATCTTTAGGCGCTTCAACTGGCTTCTTAGGATGGTGATACCCAGGCCCACTATAATCTTCTAGTCCTCGTGCATCCAAAACTAACATAACACAAGTGCACGCAGCATCATATTTCTTCTGAAAGCTTTGAATTCTGACAAGCAACAAAAGAATGAATTCAAAGGGGTTTTAATTGTTTGAAAAATTGTTAAATAGAGAATTACAGAAACTCACTTGTGAAAAGGATCAAAGGCCTGTTTATTTCCTAGAGCTTTCATATCTGCTGGGGTAGCTTGTTGGGCAAGAATACTATGGAAGTACAGAGAGAACTTGCTAACAGATATATTCTTGAACTTCACAAGCCATTGAAAAAGCATTGGTTGTTGATTGGTTTTTAAAAATGATGTGCTAAATCCAAGTTTCCACACCTGTCAGTTAAAAGAAAACATAACTTATTAAAATGAATTTCACAGTCGAATTTGCAGTTTAGAACAACAAGAAAAGGCCTTTTTTTAACCTCTTTGCTTTGAAGAGTGCGTTCCCAGGCAGAAAGTCGTGTATTAGCACCATGTAGAGCCATCAAAGATGGTAAAAAGTGCCAAGACTGCATTTCTACTTGTGCTTTTAAAAGGTTCAGCAAAATTTCACATTCCAAACTGAAACAAATATAAAATTGTTAGTGACAAAACTGTTAAGTCAAACTGACAAGAGAAACTGTACTTCCACATGATCTTACTTAAATGCAGCCTTGACAGAAGTGAGAGAAATATGCGCAAACATGAGTGAAAAGCGTTCAGCAATATCTTCAATTACAGACAGCATTTCCTCAAATCGTACTTGTTTGCTGGTGCCAGCTTGGTGCATCTTCTCATAACTATAATAGAGTCAAGGTAGATGCTCCCCAAAGTGTTAAACATTAAATTAAAAAATCATGGTAAAGGATACAAATCGATCAACTCTATTCGAGCTGATAAGAATTGACACAGTTGGCTTGATACAGTGGAGATTGCACGGTCGTTGCGTGCTATATCTTCTACGCGACGAAAATCTGATCTCATTGTGTCATACATAGAGCGCAATGAGTTCTAGAAAGGAAAGTTTTAAAACGTTCAAATTTTGTCCCCATAAAAAAAGATGTGATACAGTCTAACTAGCTGATCTGAAAACAGACTCACATCTTTCCGTAAGAAACCTTTGTTCTTCGTGATCATTGATCCAAGGTCCAGGTATGATCTCTCTGCCATTGCTAATGGTGCTAAATGGGTCAAAAGCATGACCCAGGGCCCAGGCGTACCCTGCTTTACCTCACGCTCCTTTTCCTAGGAATAAAAAATAGGTGATTGTATGATAGTAACAATAAGTGAATAATCACAATAACAATCTGAGAAAACAAAGAAACCTAACCTATCTATTATATCAACAAGCCAACACTAAGCTAATAACATGCACTTCCCCAGACTGTGGTACAAATTATCAATGAATTTCAAGAAAATAAAGTGAAATTTGACTGTTTTTTGCACACACACAAGTGCAGATTGATCGCCTGTTGCAAGGTAAACAACAGCACTTCGCACATACAATATAGACAAATGGCATGAAAAAACTAACCACAACTTCTTTGGCCTTGTCAAAACATAGCTGCGCAACATTTGTGAAGAAATTTGAGAGTATTTCCTCTTCGTAGTCCATTGCTTCCTAGCAATATGAGCAGACATGTGGGACTACGAGGGCGTTTTGCTATGCTTTGGTGGTTGCAGACAGACTAGCAGAAGTCATAAATCAGCTGTGTGCGCGGCGCGCTGTGAGGCAAATGGCATTCACATTCGCATTGGAATTGGAACCCGATCTCGGACTCGGCAAGCCGACATGAGCCGAAGTCAGGGCGGCAACTTTTGAACCAAGATTAACGTCTGTGGTCTGACTTTTTCAACTTCAACTTCAAATTGTCCCCGCAGATATAGACCATCATAGACTTGCTGGGGCGACGGTGGACCCCTCCCCCTTCCCCCGCCTCCCGCGCCCCCTTGCACTTTGCGCTCAGCAGGGCGGGCGCGCGGGCCGTCGGCTCCACACAGCTGCCTGACGGGTTGGCCTACCCAGCGTGTTGCAGGCGCTAGCCTGGCCTCAAGGACACCATCCAGTGACTGCTATACCTGTAGCGTAAGAGATGAGAAACATTGACATTACAACAGCGAGATTCGACAAAAGAAGGGTCAATTGCGTCACTTGACTTTATAGGCGAGACAAGCTAACATAGAGCACCCGCCTCATCTCTCAAATCCAAAGTAGTTTGCGCACTGAATTCAAATCCAGACCATATCTTAGCTGCGGCTGCCGATTGCAGGTGCGGCCTCGAGCCTGAACCGCGCGACTTGTTGTATCAGGTCAGTGACTTCGGACCCCTCTAACGTAGAACTCTGCATGTCCAGTTATATATGTTCCACGCGGGACGCGACTTGTCGCCAGCGAGAGCTAAGCTTATGCCGTCAAAACGACGGCAAAAACGGGGCGTTTGCCCCTCCCGGGGGAAAGCGGCGGACACCACCCGGACTTTCACGGACGCACCAATGACGGGAAATCATCTCACGAATCTTGGTGACGAATAAGATGAGTAAAACTACCAGTTTTGGCGTGAGGTATGCTTAATGAAGATGGGCGAGCGCTATCACTCTATCCGCCTCCGACATGCGCAGCGCAGAGCAAACTGATTAAACTGGTAATCTCGCTCCCGACCAATGCTGGCGTGGCGCGCGCGGGGCAGGTGTAATCAAACAGGTTAAGGGACAGCAGACCTTACAGTGCTGCACCATCACTTAGTAACTGAATTGTGGCTGGAAATATCCCCGACTGGCTTAGAGGTACCCGAGACTGTGCCACATGCGGTATGCGGTGCACAGTATAAAACTGCCCAAGTGGGCGGGGGAAACAAGCTACCAACCTGGTAGTGTAGGCATTAATCGAGAGGAGGGGGGAACGCTCCCTAATATTCCGGCCCAAGAAGACAAGCAGGGAGTGTCGGAAACCAACTATGTCCCATGCGAGAGACACACTTTCTCTTCAACACAATTCCCGGAAGAGCGGCGGGCGTCTCGGGCGGCGTACGTGCATCTAAAACTTGACTAATTCAGTACAGCGCATCTTAGATGGAGCACTGGGGGGGACGTCTGTGAGGTGGG